CCGGCCCCACCGCTCCGCGGAGACGTGGCCGTGGGAGGGGCGGGGCGCGGCGGTGCACCGGCTTCGGGTCTCCGGAAACAGCCCGTACGCACGGCCTCTGTTCCGGAAGAGAGAACGTCCTCTCCTGCTTGTCGGCAGTCACCCCGAAGCCAGGGCCGCTCTTGCCGCGGGGTCTGAATCCAGTCCACCCCGACCCGCCCGAGGTCCCCTTCAGAAAGCGACTTTATAGAGCGTGTGGAAACACAACTTCCGGTCGGCGGGACCAAATCCGACGGAATCTGGACAGCTAAGCTTCCGCCGGAAGTGGCGTGGCCGTACTCAGCTGTGGGTGTGGTGGCCCCGTCCACTTTGCCTGTCTGGGGCCCTGTCTCGCGGCCCTCAGCTGCGGGCCGTGTCGGGGCCCCCTTAGTCCTCGTCGACCCCTCCCTGGCCCCAGATATGGCGTCTTTCACCTCCCGTGCTCATTCGGCTCTCTAACGCCGACTCAAAACTCACTCTTGCTTCGGATCCATGAACGTTTCACCTTTTCAGAAACATCGTGCGATGCGTGGGGTGTGAGGTTGGGGTTCGTGTCTGGCTTTGCCTGCGGACTTAGACTCTCCGGCGCTAACGCTGAAGATGCTCCTTCTGCCGTTAAGTGGCTTTTGCACATTTGTCTGAAAGTGGCCGGGCGCCTGTGTGGGTCCGTTTCTGGGTTCTGTTATGTCCACTCATCCGTGTCCACCCCGCCCACCCCCACGACCTCTGTCACTGCAGTTTCCCTGAAGCCTTAAGGCCGGGTAGGGCGATTTCGCCCATCTTACTCTTTTGCGTGGTTGTTCCAGCTGTTCTAGGGCCAGTGCCCGTCCACGTGCGTTTTAGAATAAGCTCTTACGGCTACAGAAAGCCTTCTCAGTATTTGCATAGGAGTTGCATGAAACCTCCAGATCAATTTGGGGAGAACTGACATCTTTACAAGACTGTCTTCCAATCTGTGATCGTGGTGGGTGGCCATATATTTGGGTCTTCAGCGATTTCTTTCATCAGCATTTGGTAATTTCAGCATAGATTCTGCACAGTTTTAAACTTATGCCTAAGTATTTCATTTTCTTTAGAGTAATGGTAAATGGCATTGTGCTTTTGATGTTAGATTCCACCTAGCCATTGTTAGTCTATAAAATTGTGATGAGGCCGGGCGCCGTGGCTCAAGCCTGTAATCCCAGCACTTTGGGAGACTGAGGTGAGAGGATTGTGATTTTAAGGGTTTGAGAACAGCTTGAGCAATTTGGCGAGACCGTATCTCTACAATAAATCAAAAAATTAAAAAAGTTTTTGAGACCTAGAGTTTGTGTTCTTAGACATAAGAAAACCACAAGAAAACAGGCTGGGCCCAGTGGTTCACACCTATAATTCCAGAACTTTGGGAGGTGGAGGTGAGAGGATTGCCTGAGTTCAAGGGTTTGAGACCAACCTGGGCAACTTGGTGAGCCCTCATCTCTATAATAAATCAAAAAATTAGCCAAGTGTGGTGGTACACACCTGTAGTTTCAGTTATTTGGAAGGCTGAGGCAGAAGGATCACCTCAACCCATCAGGTCAAGGCTGCGGTGGGCGTGAGCATGCAACTGCACTCCAGCCTGGGCAACAAACTGAGGCTCCAAATCAAAAAACAAACAGGCCGGGCTCGGTGGCTCAGCCTGTAATCCCGATCTTTGGGAGGCTGAGATGAGTGGATTGCCTGAGCCCGCGGGTTCAAGACCCGCCTGGGCAGCGAGACCTCATCTCTACAATAAATCAAAAAATCAACCGGGCATGGTAGCACATGCCTGTAATTCTGGCTACTGGGAAGGCTGAGGCGTAAGGATCGCCGGAGCCCAGCAGGCGAGGCTGCGGTGGCCGGAAGCGGCCACTACACTCCAGTCTGGGCAACTGAGTGAGACTCCAACTCAAAAAACAAACAAACAAAAAAGCCCCAACAAAAGTCCTCCTGGGCTTCTGCACATGGCCATGGATGTGCTCACCCACAGGAGCTCAGATAAATCAGGTGTAATAATCAGAAGTGATGAACCCTGAGCATTTATCACCTTTTTTTGTTTTTGTGTTTTGAGTAGGAGTTTGTTACCCACGCAGTGCAGTAGCATACTCACAGCCACCACAGTCTTGGCTCGCCGGGCTCAAGTGATTCTTCTACCTCAGCCTTCCAAGTAATTGGAACTACAGGTGCATGCCACCATGCCCAGCTAATTTTTTGATTTATTGTAGATGAGATCTTACCAAGTTGTTCAGGCAGTCCTCTCACCTCTGCTTCCCAAAGTTCTGGGACTACAGGTGTGAGCCACCACACCTGGTCATCACCTTTGTTTTTAACATAATTCTGTGTTTGTGTGATTTCTAAAATAATGACTGTGTTTATGGCTACTGGCTCTCAACATCCCTGGAGGTGGTTCTTCTGCAGATTACCTGGACTCTCCTGAGGTGGGCTCTGGCCAGTGGACCTGCGGAGCTGGGCCTCTCTCCCCATGCACTCTTCTGTCCTCTATATAGAGACCTGACTTCTCTACATGGCTGGGTCCCTGCTTCTCTCTGATCTGGACCTGATCATTCCTTTTTTTTTTTTTGAGTTGGAGTCTCACTCTGTCACCCAGGCTGGACTGGAGTGCAGTGGCACACTCTCGGCCACCGCAGCCTCGACCTGCTGGACTCAGGTGATCCTTCCGCCTCAGCCTTCCAAATAGCTGGAACTACAGGCATGTGTTATCACACCCAGCTAATTTTTTGAGTTATTGTAGAGATGAGGTTTCACCATGTTGCCCAGGCTGGTCTAGAACCCGTGGGCTCAGGCAATCCTCTTGCTTCAGCCTCCCAAAGTGCTGGGATTATAGGCTTGAGCCACTGCGATCATTCCCCTCTTGCTGGTACTAAGGTAATCAAGATGACTTAAAACCTATTTCCAACAGCCTTTCTATTGGCATTAGTAGGAGGGCTGGCCTGAATCCCCAGTCCTTGATTTGTGTCAGTGTGCCTGGTGTTCCTGGAAACACTCAGGAGCCCAACAAGCCTGGCCTCTGAGGCTTTCCCGGGGTCAACAATTCACCCAGAACCCAAGGCCTCTTCTTCTAGCTTCTGAGGGAGGAAGTAGGGGTTACAGGGTGCCCTGCACTGCATCAGGGAGCACAGGAGACACAGGTTGGGGCACTGATGAGTCTGTGGGGGCTGTAGGGAGACGGCCTTTGGGAGCAACAGCCTGGCCCTGGGTCGGCCTACAGCCAATAGCAAGTTGTTGGTCTTTCTGGGTGGGGTAGGAGAGTCTTGAGTAACAGGAAGTATATAAGATCATAAAAAGGCTGCATGAGTTCACACCCACCTGTCCCTATACAACTCATTGTCACGCCAGGACCCAAGGCCTCCTACCTCAGATTAGAGCCAAGGCCAAGTTCTCTTCTATCGCAGAACAGATGGGGAACCTGAATCTTTTCAGCTCCTTCACTGTGAACCAGGTGTGGATTTCTTTAGAGGACTGAGAAAGTGAACATGATTCTCAGGGACACCCGGTGTCCCCGAACTCCATGAGCTGCCCTGCCCTTCCTGGGCAGATGCAGCGAGTCCGGAGAAAGGTTGCAGGTGTTGTTTAAACCTGGGCATAACAGAGCCGTCATGTCCTCCACAGAATCAGCGCTTTTATTTTACTTTTGGAGATGAGAAGGGAAAGAGAGGGTATGATCAGCCAGTCTTTCTAGGAACAGACACGGGCAGGCCCAGCTCACTTCCTGGGTCCATCTGACTTCCCTGACATAACCTCACTCCTGCACAAACATGGGGTTTCTTCTTGAGGCCTCACTCCTGCACCAGTGTGGTTAATATGCTGATAGAGTGCCCAGATAGACTAGTAGGCAATAAAGTATTATCAGTAGTGAAGAACTAGTAAGTCTGTGCAGAGCCTGTCTCTATTACCTGGGCAGCTCTGCACATGAGCCCAACATGAGAGGAGAGAAACAAACGAGGCTTGTTTATTAGAATGCAAAAGAGAAGAATTTTCCACAAATACAGAGTGCTGCTTCTCAGTCTATATCAAGAGCAAGACAGTTGAAAATTGTATTCCTGAGAAGAAGCAAAAAGTTACCAATTTGCAAACAAACATAACAGGTGATTTAAACAGAAGATTAAAAATTTTTTTTTTTTTTTTTACAAAAACCAAAATTTCAAGTATTATTCCAGATGACATGGCAAACCAAATGTCGGGAAGCAAAGGCCCATGTGCTCCCCTTGAGCTTTGTGGGGTCTCAGTGGGGAGGGCTGGAGCAGCACAAGGGAGCAGGGTGTCCAACCCTGCCTGTGCCCAACCCTGCACTAGGGATGGCGGTCACTCACACCCAGTAGCCAAAGCCGCTCACTTGACATCCATGTCTAAGGTTAGCAGTTTTGGACACTTGAAGATTTTTTTAATAAACAGAAACATATGCTTATTCTTTCAAATACCATACTATACCCAATTTTAGTCAATTTGTAAATTATAAATTATATTATTTGTGCTACAATCTGTGATATTTAAATCTTATTAGAAGCACCAAACCTATTAAAATAAAAAATATATAAAATGCTGTGGCTTTCCCGACAGCAGAATATTCTGTACATCCTGTAGGCTGTAAACGTATGCTCCCTTCTCCTGAAACAGAATGTGATAAACTTTCCCCTTTCTCTCATGAAACTTTTCCTGAAGAGATTTCTGCTCTCACTGTAGCTATGGAAAAGGTACAAAAGAGCAAACCTGCACTGCCTTTCTGGGGCAGCTGTCTGTCCTCCGGCTACTGTGAGCCCCAACCAGTGCTCACCAGGAGGGTGGGCTGTGCACCCCCAAGGGTCCCCAGGCCTCTTGGTAGAGTCTCACTAGGAAGGTGAAACGCCACAGAAGAGGCCCACCGGAGTCCCTGCCCAGAGCTCTGCATCCCATGGAGGCTGTGAAAATGCCCTAATGTGTGTGGCTTCAGTATTCTCTAAACACACTCTTGTCGCCTCCACGGCTTACAGCTGCTGGGGCCTTCTGGAGCTTAGTTCTTGAACCTCGTCTGTTCACAGATATGATTGAATTTCCTGCAGGGAGAACACAGTCATATTACACAAGAGAGCATTAGAGGGTATTGAAACAAACACATTTTGAAAGCATATGCTGAAAGAAATATCTGAAAAATAGACTGCATGTGCACATGTGGGTGTATGGCAGTATGTTTGTTTGTTTTTTTTGAGTTGGAGTCTCACTCGGTTGCCCAGACTGGAGTGCAGTGGTCGCTCCCGCCCACCGCAGCCTCGACCTGCTGGGCTCCGGTGACCCTTCCGCCTCAGCCTTCCGAGTAGCCGGAATTACAGGCGCGCACTACCACGCCCGGCTGATTTTTTGATTTATTGTAGAGATGAGGTCTCGCTGCCCAGGCAGGTCTCGAACCCGCGGGTTCAGGCCATCCACTCACCTCAGCCTCCCAAAGGCGCGGGATGACAGGTTGAGCCACCGAGCCCGGCTGGCAGTATGTTTTTAACAACATCAAAGAAACTAACCCCAAAGGTGCCTTCTTTTTTTTCGACTCAGGGCTTCACTCTGTCACCCAGGCTGGAGAGTAGTGGTACAATCATGACTCACCGCAGCCTCGACCTCCTGGGCTCAGGCGACACTTCTGCCTCAGCTCCCAGGGTAGCTGGGACTACAGGTGTGTGCCACCAAGCCCAGCTAAATTTTGGATTTTTCTTTGTAGGGCCATGTTGCCCAGACTGGTCTTGAACTCCTTGGTTCAAGCAATCCTCCTGCCTTGGCCTTCCAATGTTCTGGGATTACAGGCATGAGTCACTGTGCCTGGCCTCTTTTTAAAAAAAGTTTTTAAAATAGGAGTGAAAACATCTTAGGTAGTTTTCTTAAAAGCTGCTCCTCCTCAGAGTGTTCCTATGAAGCTGCGGGTCACCTACCAGGGCTGAGACAGATATGATGCAGGGTGGCGGCTTGGCCACCTTCTCCTTCCACAAACTGTGGGTGAGGAGGACGGGCATGTCTTGGCTATCCTTATCCACATTTTTAGCAGGAAAGGTTAGCCATCTCTAGTGAAATCTCTTTTCTTGTAACAACATGGTATCTTCCACATGCTGTTTGTGTTCAAATACAAAGCAAGGCTTTGCCAGGCATGGTGGCTCACGCCTGTAATCCCAGCACTTTGGGAGGCAGAAGTGAGAGGAATGCCTGAGCCCAGGAGTTCAAGACCAGCCTGGCCAACTTGGTGAGACCTTGTCTCTATGATTTAAAAAAAAAAAAAAAAAAAGCCGGGCTCAGTGGCT